CACACAGTGGGCATGGGGTCGGCCTCCAGAAAAGGTGGCCTTTATCATGACGACCCCCAAACCCTGCCCTGGACTCTGACAGGAGGAAAGGCAGCCAGGACCACAGTCAAAGGGTAGGCATAATCGTTCTCAACGGACAAGCGCACATAAGGTCAGGACCGTGGAAGACACAGAGGAGACTTGAAAAAAAGCCCGTGTGTTGCCTGCGATGCTGCAGCCAGATTCTTCTTTGGGGCTCTAGCTCTGCTGACCAGGGTGTCTGCGAGGTCACAGGAGGATGACCCCCACGGAGACGACAGTCAGGGATATGAGCGCACCACCGCCCAGCGACTTTCAGGCCTGCAGCCCACAAGAGAGGCCCCGCATCAGGGCTGAACCCGCAGAGGGGCCCCGGAAGGAAGCCTGCGAGCGTGGCGGCTGCATCCTGACCTGGCCCGCCCCTGACCAGCCGCCTGGGCCCCCGATTCCACATCGGTTAAGTGAAAGACTTATGTTTCTTTCCAGCTTTCACAGTCTCCAACCCAAGAACTCAGGAATCTTCTGTGGGCCGGAAAGTGGCCAAGAGGGCAGCTGCTAGAACCCGACAGCCTCGGGTTCAAGTCCCAGGTCTGCTCTCTTTCAACCTGTGAGCAACCCTCCCGTAAGCCTCGGCCTCGTCGTTGGAAATGGCCCGCTGTGAGCCTGCCTGCTTTCGGCGCTGTCCCAGGGTCAGTGGGGACACAGCATAGGCGGCCGGTGTGCGGGCACAGAAGGGGCTCCATGCGAGGGGCTATTGGAGCAGGTCCTGATCAGCGGGGCTGCGCCAGCTTTGCAGCTGGGAGGCTGAGTGTGGCACCGGAGACACAGCACAGCCGGACTCGCCTCCCCTGAAACTGCGGGGACAGCACCAGGACGCTTAGGATCGACTCCACAGATCCTCCTGCCACCCGGGGATGTTTCCCCAGAAGGGAAGGCTCCCTGGAGCGGAGAGCTGGGTCCCACGGCAGGACACGACTCCACCCCGCCGCCTCTCTCGGGGAGGTGCGGGACCTGGTTATCCTCAAAGGGGCTCCACATCCCGCAGCCGCAGACTCTCTGTCTAGCTGACCGCCCAGCCCCTCCGTGAGGCACATACTGACGTGGCCCGGGGGACAGCCGGTGGGAGGAGGGAAGTCACGCACAGAGCGTCAACTCAGTGAGGTCAGGCCCATTGCCCAAGGCTCAAACTATTGGCGATAACTGGAGCCAGGAGCTGAACCCAGCCTTCCTGGATCCAAATTCTGTGCTCAGAGCCGGCTCAAAGTCCCGTGTGTCTTCTTTTCTGGATCTTTGTTTCCTCTGCACCTTGCCACCTCTGAAATATCCTTGAGATGGTTCTGGGAGCAAAGACTTAAACCCAGGCCTGCCTGACCCCAAAGCCTAGCTCTTACCAAACTCATTACGTTCCTTGCCAACAAACAGACGTTGGTTTTGGTTCTGCGCCATGGCCACGGGCAATCTAACCCAGATCCCCTCTCTGCCAGTTATTGCAGAGCTGGCCCCACTCAGGGCTGCAGAGCCAAGTCACAGCCAGTACTCTATACCTTTGGGGACCTTCTTTCACCTTCTCCAGACCAAAAGGCCAGAGCATTCAAGACCTAACAGAGACGAGCCAGGCTGTGCTCTGCCCTCCTGGCAATCACAATCTTGGGCCTGCCACCAGAGATAAGAGATTTGAAAGCAGAATAAGCGCCTGACAGTGTTTCCCATTTAGCGCCAGACACATTAAGAGAAAAGAAAACTGACAGCAGTAACAACATTCGCTTCTAAGTATCACTGGGGCTCTCCTTTTAAGTTACGCACAATAAATAAAAGACAAATTTACTCTGAGAGGATCCAGTGAAGAGAGAGCTGAGAAAGTTACTGCTCTTGGAACTGAGGACCTTGCTCTGATGGGAATAAGGAGGAATAAAAAAAAAAAGGAGAAAAATGCAGCTGAAAGAAGACTGGGAGGCCGGCCAGGAGCGAAAACTCAGGCTTGGCACGAGCCTCCCCCACGTTCTGAGGGCTCCTGCCTGGGGAAAGTTGCTTCTTACTCCTGTAAAAACTTTTCCTGGGTGACTGCTCTTTTCAGGAAAGTTTTCTCCAGAGTCAAAAGCCTGACTTCGAGGAGCTCTGTCACTCGCGGGCGAGGTTCGGTCGCACGCTACCGCCGGGGCCGCTGCCACCAAGCTGGCGTCAGAAGGCATGGCGCTGAGTTATAAAAACGGAGGGGTGGGGGCTTCCGTTGGCGAATGCCTTAAAGTGTCAAGTGTTTAGAACATTTGTTTAGCATAATAATCTTCCAGACGGGTATGGACAGGAGCTGATGCCAGTCTACTAGATCTGGGCCACTGGGGCGCCTGCCGCTAACCCAGCTTGAGAGGAACTTAGTCCCGCCCTCTCCACAGGTTGAAAACTCCAGGGAGCCCAGCGCAGGCCTCCGCCCCCCCCCCCCCCCCCCCACCCAGAGCTCCAGGCCCTGCACCCCCTCCCACAGCTGCACGGGCCTCTTTCCTGGACCCTGACTCCCAGGGTGATCCTCACGGTTGGTGCGCACACTCCAAAGTCCAAGGAGGGGCCACGGGCAGGTGTGTGGGGGTTGTGGACAAAGCTGGGGTGTCCTCACACGTGTGTGAGACCCGCCGTGGTAAGAAGAGGAGGGATGCCCCCATTTGTACGCTAGCCCCAGTGCCGCAAACATTTGGGGCGGGCCTTGGGTGGTCTCTTAAAATTTTAAATCGCACGCACCTATGATGTATTTGGAAAATAACAAGTGTTTCTTGATGCTGTCAAGGCTTTCGAACTAATTTCTAGGTTACAGGAAATTAAAGGGGGTAAAGAAATAAACTAACACCATGAAGAGGCAGCCAGACAACCTGGAAAGTGGATGTTCTAGAGAACTGGTCTGGGTCCTTTAACAATTAGTGTTATGAAAAAAAAGTCTCCCAATGCTTAAAAGAGAGATAATTTACTCAGTGACTTCCTTCCAAAGGGTACAATATGTAAGGGGGATAAAAGAATAACTTTACAGTGGAGAAACCTGACCAACTCTTCCTCAGCCAGGGCATCAAGGCTGTCGGCAAAAGTGGTTAAGTCGGGTTGCGAGCAGGGACCTCTGATCTGATGGGCTGAGAAGGGCGCGTTAGCTCCGTGGTTGTCCTCCCTAAAACCTGGTCTAATCATGAGAAAAACATCGAATTCTGACTGAGGGACAGTCTACAAAATACCTGCCCAGTACTCCTCAAAACTATCAAAAAGGAAAAAAAATTCTAAGAGGAGGAGCCTAAGGAGATGTGACAACTAAATGTAATACAGTATCCAGGATGGGATCCTAAGAAAGTCTGAATGCAGTATGGGCTTTAGTTAAAAATAATAATAACGTATCAATACTGGTTTATTAAATGTAACAAATATACCACACTAATGGAAGATGTTAATAACAGGGAAACTGGGTGTGGCATATATGCCAACTCTCTGTATTAACTCTGCAATTTTTCTAAAAGTGTTCTCTTTTTTTAAGATTTTATTTATTTATTTTTAGAGAGAGGGGAAGGGAGAAAGGGGGGGAGAAAAACAGCAGTGCGTGGTTGGCTCGCGCGCGCCCCCTACTGGGGACCTGGCCGGCAACCCAGGCGTGTGCCATGACCTGGGAGTGCCACAAGCGGCCCTTTGGTTCGCAGGCTGGCACTCAATCCACTGAGCCACACCAGCTGGGGCTTAAAACTGTTCTAAAATACAATATTTATTTTAAAAGAGAGAAGATTGAGACATAAGGAAAATAATAACCAGATTAAATTGCATGGATTCTGGTTTACATAAACCAAAGAAATGGCCCTTTGGGAACTATGAGAGAAATTTGCATAAGTGGGCATTAGGTGACAACAGAATTATTCTTAAAGGCTTCTTTCCCTACATAGATAAGATTCTTTTCACTATATGATTTTTTTATGTATTTAAATTTTTTTTTAATTTATTACTTATTTTCAGAGAGAAGGGAAGGGAGGGAGAAAGACAGAGAAACACTGATGTGAGAGAGAAACAACAAAGTGTTGCCTCTCATACGCACTCCAACCCCAGGACTGAACCTGCAACCTAATCATGTGCGCTGACTGGGAATCGAACCAGCAACCTTTTGCTTTGCAGGACCACCCAACTGAACCACACGGGTCATGGCAGAAATGTTATTTTTTAAAGATGCATGCTGAAAAAGAATTTTCGTTTGCCTTCCGAAAAACTTCCACACTCTCTCCCATGGCCTAGATCTCAGCCCGCGGGCTCTGGAGCTGCCACCTCTACAACCTCGTCCTGTGCCTCTCTGCTTCCCTCCCCCCATCCTGACCCATCACCGGCGTTCCTCCGGCCTCCTCCTGCCAGACCGTCTGCCGCCCGTGCTGTACCTCTGCCTAGAACGCCTGCCACGGCGGCCAAAACTTAAGCAGCCCCGTCTCCCATTGCTCTATCTCATCCCTCTGTCTCCTTCAGAGTCTCAGCTTTTCGGTCTGTTTGCCCACCATCTGTCTGCCCCTACTAGAATCAAAGTTCAAAGGGCAAACACCTTTCCCGGATTGTTTGCCATCTCCCCAGCACTAGAACAGTACCTTGCTCGCACCCTTCCTGCCCAGTGAATAACTTACTATATCTTAGGCCATAACAACTACAGGAACCACAAGCCATCCCAAATCACCTCTACTCCTTTCGATATTAAAACTTTAACATAAAGATGTTTAAAAGAGCCCTCTACATTTCCCCCTCCTCCAAGTGGCTTCAATCCATTCCCTCATTCATGATCTCGTCTCTGAGCAGGAGGGGAAGGCAGGCCTGCCGAGGGAGTCCTGGGCGTGAGTTCCAGACCTGCTTCAAGCTAGCTGTGACCTGGACATTGTGTGACCCGCGAAGTCTGCCTCGCCCGAGGTTCCTTTCCCAAGGACCCATTTCTCACTCTCCTGTCTCATCACAGCCCATCACCAATCAGGCTTCTGGGAGACCAGTCCCATCCTTACCAATAGCAAACTCCACCAGGGTCTCATTCTCCTCCGACAGCGAATCGAGGAATAAATCCAGGACCTGCAGCTGTCGCAGATACTGGTAGTTGCTGGGGTCATAGGCGAAGTTGGCAAGGTTGGCGAGGACTTGCTCCTTGGCGTCTGCAGCGGAAAAGCGGCGCTGGAGCCAGGTCCGGGGCGGCGGTCGCGGGCGGACCCCTGCCCCGTCCCCTGCCCTTCATCCTGTCGCCCTCACCTTGGCTCTCCGTCTCCTGGAATTCCGTGACCAGCGCCTGCAGGTATCCCAGCCGCCCGACGTGGGGGTCTACCTTCGGCTTCTGGGCCATGGTCGGGGAGGCAGAGGGTCCCCGGGGCACAGAAGAGCGCGTCAATGAGGCCAGAAAGGCTGGCGAGAGCCTCACTGGGCCTCACTGGGCAAGGGCAGACCAGGGTAGGACACTGGTTCCTTTCCTGGATTCAGGTCCTGCGGTAATTTGCAGCTGGAATTGGTTTGAGGTGGGGGTATCAGGACCTTGTAAGAGATGGGCGTGAGGATCTGAGCCGCAGATTTCGAGGCGACTGCGCGAAGGAGGAGGAAGTAGCACCACCCACCCCCAGCTAGTAGGTAGGATTTTCCGCACGATTCCGGGCTTCCGGCGGAAACCCCGCTTAGCCCCGCCCCAGAGGGCGGAAAGGGGCAGGGCGAAGGCGGAGCCGTCGCTGAGCTCGGCGCGCGTGCGCATTGCGCTTCACGCCTTAACGCTTTTGCCGGCGGCGGAGGGGTGCTAGTGATTTGAGCGGCATATCTGGGGTCCATAAGCGCGTAGAGGCGCCAGACGTTGTGGGGTGGGGGGCTGTCGAGGCAGTACCACGTCCAGGTCCTCTTGTACCTGACGAGGAAACACAGGCCAGCCTCTTTGACCAAGGGACGACCCTCTGGAGCGTGGGCGTCGGCACCGTACGGTCCCACCCACCCTCACCCCCACCCCACCCCTTGCGTCCCTTGACATTGCTTTATGGTCAGCTTTTCCAAAAAGCTGTGCGAGCCTGGTACTCCCTGCTCCCCAGCCCCGAGCTGAGTCTTCCACCTCTGGCCAGAAATCTCGGGAACTGGGTATAAGACCCTGTCAGCCAGGAGGATGGGGATCGCTGGGCAGCACCGACAGGTGGCAGGAATCTGTATTCACCCAAATGTACCGTTTTTGGTAGCTTTCTGGGTTGGGCAGCAGCCCTGCACGTGGAAGCCCTTCTGTCCAATTCTTTCTTGGTGCTTCTCAGGAAAGTGATGTATGATCGAGACTTCACAGACGCGGGGGCCAAAGCACCAGTGAGGAAGGGGTCCTGCCGCACTCCCATCGTGATTGAAAACGTGAAGGTAAAGGCAGCTTGGGCTGCGAGCTTCTAGAGGGCAAGGAGCATGTGCCTTTGGTCTTCGGCCATACTCCACCCTGCCACCGTCCCATTGGGAGCAAGCCCCACACGCGCCGGCTCAGGTCCTTGCCGTCACTCCCTGCCTTCTGCACACCTCCTGGGGCAGGAGTTTCGACCACAGTCTGGGTGCTTGGGTACCGTGGCTGCTCTGTGATAGTGGTGGCCCCAGGGCCCTCACCAGGCCCTTCAGCTTCTTCTGGGAACTGATGTGACCTGGGGATATACATCTTAGCCCAAGGTGGCCAGGGGGCTTCTCTCCCTCTGGCTGGACAGAGCAGCAAAGGCTTGGGGACCAGAAGGTTAGAGCTTAGGGTCAGAATGTAAGTGAGCACCTCACCTGGTGCTACTCAGAACTCTTCCAGACCCTGCCTAGAGGATCCCCAGAAAATCAGCCAAGTGTGGGGTCTGGAGTCAGATAGGCCTCCCGTTTTCCCCTCATTTGTTTCCTCCCAAGGGCTCAGCGCCCCTGCTCCTTGGAGACAAATTCTCAGCCCCTACTTTTGTGCTGAGCGCTGCAACCGGTTCTTTCTCCAATCTGCCCGCCCCTGGCACGTAGCAGATGCTTAACCATTTGTTGAAGAGAGCCTGCCCAGTGACTGTTGCTGCTGTGGCCTGAAAACCAAGTTCTTTCTGCTCAATGGCCACTGATCATCTTTTTTTTCCCTAAAAGAAACCTGTTTTGTCCTGACCTGTGTGGCTTCGTTGATTGGGTATCATCCCTCAAGGCAAAGGATCACTAGTTTTGATTCCTGGTCAGGGCACAGGCCTGAGTTTCGGGTTCTGTCCTCCGCTGGGGCACGTACGAAAGGCAGCTGCTTAGTTTCTCATAGTGATGTTTCTCTCCCTCTCTTCCTCCCTTCCCCTCTTAAAAAAAAATCTTTTTTCAAAAAATCTGTTTTAAGAAAGTAGGCCTATTAAGGGATGCATATTTCAAAGCCTAGTGGCCTCTAGTACCAAAAGCATGAACCTGTTCACCAGCCCCAACTCCCTCCTTTTCTACTCCATGAGGATGGAGGATACAGAACTTGGTAAAATATATCTGAGCTTTTCCCCTTCAGTCCACACTCTGGGGACAATAGCCAAGTGGAGGACGGGGTGGGGAGCCGGAACGCGGTGGAGTTCTTCAGGATCAGACTTTTCAAACTGGAAAAGACTTTAGCTTATCTCGGCCAACCTCCTCCTTTTCTAAAATCCCAGTTTTGGTGAGCAACTTGTCCAAAGTCACACAGTAAATTATGGCAGAGTCAAACACCAACTCAGGCTTCTATCCCAGCCAAGAGCCCTTTTCTTCGCCTCTGCACTACCTTCTTTGGACATAAGGGGGCACTCGTAACAGGGTCCTGGGAAAGACTGACTATTCCCAACGATGCTTATTCACCCCAGCTGGCCATGTGGAGGAGGAAGGCTGGAGTTGGGTCACGAAAATAAAATCAATCCTTCTGATAAGGTTTTCTTGTTGGAGCCCGGTTGAGCCTGATTCAACAAACAAGCTCCCGGGCGTGAGCAGCCCCTGCCAAGCTGGGAGCACAGACGTGGGGGAGGGAGACTTATTCCAGGCCTGTTTTCCTGCTTCATTAGTTCATAGGGTTTACAGCCTGCTGCAGGAGTCGCTTTTGTGTGTAATTCAAACAAACTGTTTTTCTGTTCCCTTGGTTGGTTCCCTTGGCTGGGACAAGCCTGGCTTGATGACAGCAAGCGCCCCTCCCCACCTAGGGATGACCTCAAGGAAGGGCACCAGCAGGGAGAGACAGAGAGAGAGAGAGAGAGAGAGTGTGTGTGTGTGTGTGTGTTGCGGGGATGGGGGAAGCTCTGACCTCCAGGCCGTGGACACAGGCGGGCGGGGGAGCAGGGGCAGACTGGCAGCTGGCCCAGCCAGCTACTTGCCCCAGGGCTGACACCTCTGAGGCAGGGAGAAGGGAAAAGGTCTTCTATTACAAAAGCAGCTCTATTTCCATCGAGGCCCTGGGGCCCTGCCTAGCAATCCTTATCCTCCCTGGTCAGTCCAATGTCTGGCTTCCTCAACCCCAGTGCTTACCTTCCCTGCCAAAATACCAGAGGGGTGGCGGGGCGGCGGGGGGGGGGGGGGGGGGGGGGGCGGCGGGGAGGCGCGCAAAGCAGGAAGGAGACCCTGGAGCAGGCTGTGCAGAATGTGCAGGGGACCCCTCAGACTTGACCGATTCTCGGACTCAAGTCATGTGCTCCCCTCCGATTCTTTGCGCAGACACCAGGACAGGTCCTCCGCCCAACATCTACCCTGTCCAAACCCTGCAGCCAGGCCAGCTCTTCAGCTTGGCCATCCACTGCTGCAAGCCAAGCTCTCTCTCTCACAAGGCCCTTCTTCCCAAGGTTCCGATCAGTCGGGGGCCCAGCAACCTGTGCTGGGAGCAGCCCTAAGGGCAAGGTTTGAGTCACTGGGAGGAAGTGGGCAGGAGGGCTTAGGACAGGTGAGCTCTTTGGAATTGTCTAGACGTCAGAGAAGGGCAAAGAGTTCACATCGGAGGCCTCTGGCTAGACAGGATGATCTGGTGTGGTGAGCTGTAGCAGCAGCAGCGGGCAGCCAGCTGAGCGGAGTCGGGCCTGGCAGACCCAAGCAGGGCTCAGACCCACTTTCCTGGGCCCCACGAACCCTGGTGCCCAAGGGAGAAAAGGGAGGAGGACCCGCTCCTGGATCCGACTCATGGAAGGAACCCTGAGTCTTCAGAGGCCAGCTTCCAAGGCCCCAGCAGCCAGCTGAGTCCCGACGGGCAGAGCCTTGACGGCCTTTGGTTCAGGCTTTCTGGGCGGCACGTCCCCTGGTCAAACAGCTGGATATCCTGTTCTTGGGCTGATGCAGCGGTCACTCACTGACCTCAGGGCTCAGACGCTGGTCACACATGTGATCTTGGGGCTCAGACGCTGGTCACATACATGATTTCAGTCCGCTGCCGCTTCTCACAACTGTCCGTGGCCTCCCCAGTGTGGGCCCGCTCCGGGGCAGCCTCCCTGACCGCTGGCTCCCCCGTGGCCCGGGGGGCCTGCCTCTCCTTTTTCCAAAGGGTGCAGAAGCCGCCACCCATGAAGAGGGCGGCCGAGATGAGGAAGAAGCTTGACATGTAGAAAACGTAGCTGAAGTTATTGTCAGTATTGTCCAGGAGAAACCCTGAAAGAGAGAGCAAGTTAGGCTACTGCCCAGGGCTACCAGCCCTGCACCAAACTGTGCTCCACAAGAGCGGGGACTTTTGCCCCCCGCTCTTTTTATCTCTGTTTTATCCCCAGTCCCAGGAATTGTGGCTGGCACCTAGTAGGCACTCGATAAATAGATGTTAAATGAAAGGGGGAGATGAAACACTAACCTCCTCTGGCCCAGGCCAGGAAGAGTCCCTGGGCCGAAGAGCACTTAGGGGCATGCCTCTTTTACCCTGGTGGCAGGAAGCTGCGAGGACAAGGACCAGTGTAGTCTGGGACATCTGCTTGGCCATGCGCTATCCTCTCCCCCTTCCCTAATACCTCCTTCCAGAGAGCTCTCTCTACTTGCTGGCTTGGGGAAATCCCTTGGGCCTTCCAACTCCACACTGGGGGGGCGGGGGAGGGAAGAGACCCATCATCTTCCGTAATAACCGCAGCCATGTGTTGTCTGTAGACTGCCCCTCCTGGCACCAAAGGCTTCACAAACCTTCCCTTCTGCTCTGAATGGCACGCTGTCAGCTGCTCAGCGAGCCCTCTCACTGGGCTCTGCTTCCATATCTGTGCGTTTCCCTCTGGGCACAGATTGCCATTGTGACCACAAATATATCCCTTTGCTTTTAATTCCCAGTGCTTCCACCAGAAGGGATGTCTCGGGACCCTGTCATGCACACCCTGTGACCGGCACAGGTCCATATTGCAATGGTTGTGGTAGCTGTTCTTTTCTGCATTTTGCAGATGACATTGTGGCTCACAGAAGGCAAATGACTTGGCAGGGTCCCACAGGCAGGAAGCAGGAGAAGCAGGACGTTAATCACAGTAAATCTGGGCATAGGACCTTCTACCAGCTCCCCAGCTAAGCTCTTTCCTGTATAACCTGTGACCCTTACAACAAACCTGCCTGGTAGGCTCTGTTATCTTCCTCACTTTGCTGACAAGAAAACAGAGGTACAGAGAGAAAGACAGACTCAGGTGCCTAATAAGCAAACCCCTACTTTTAACTGTTTAATCTCTGAGTGCCAGCTAGGGAATAGGATGGAGCCAGTCCCTTGGGGCTCTTGGGGAAATCACAGACTCCAAGTCCCTGCGCCTGGGGTGCTGGACAGGGTCCAAATCCATCCAGACTGTTCCCTTTGCCTCACCCCTTTACCCTGCTCTCCCAGGCTGCACCCCCAACCCCCAGCAGTCCTCCCTCCCCCACCCCCACCCCCGCAGCCCCTCCCGGGCCTCACCAGCCATAGGGGGGGAGACTAGGATGGAGATGCTCTCCAGGATGGTGCAGAGGCCCAGGGCCCTGGAGAACCGGCCCATGGGGACAATGTCCATGAGGACCTGGAAGAAGAGGGCGCCAACTACGCTCATGGACACGCTGTACACCAGACAGTAGCCCACCAGCACTCGGAAGTCGGCCGACACCGTGCACACCAGGTTGGTGAGCCCGTTGAGCAGGACTGCTAGGGTGAACAGGTACTTGCGGTAGCTGGCGAAGTTCTTCTGCCCCGCCACCAGCCCAGCCATGGGCCGCAGGAAAATGTTGCTAAAGCCGATGATGGAGATGAGCAGGGCTGCTCTGTGCTCATCCACCCCATGCCGCATGGCATAGGGCACCAGGAAGACATGTGGCAGCGGGAAACCAAGGATCATCCACGTGACCCCCAGCGTGAACACTCGGTAGCCTGCGTTGTGCCACAGGATGTCGAAGGCCAGGTAGTGCAGGACGGCCTGGCCACATGCTGCCAGGCAGCCAGGAGCAGGTGTCTTGGAAGGTGGAGAAGGGCCTTTTCTGGTTTCGAGAGCCACGCTGGGGGCCACTGGCCTCAGGATGGCCCCGCAGACACAGCAGTGGAGAAACACACCACCGAAGATGAGGAAGGTGCCCCTCCAGCCCAGGTCCTCCAGGAGGTAGCGGGCGAGCAGCGGCCAGAGTGTGATGCCCAGGGAGACGCCCACGGAGGCCAGCGCGTTGGCCAGCGCCAGCCGGCGGGTGAAATAGCAGCCCAACACGGTGATGGTGGACTGGAAGCTGAAACACAAGCCCAGGCCTGTGGTGGAAGAGGGGAGGTCAGCTCGAGGGTGTTCTTGGGCCTCCCGCTGCACCCACAGTGGGGATCACAGGGTCCTGTCCCACATCTGGGCGCCTTCCCTTTCAGCCCAGACCCTCCCCCTGCCCCCAGGGACTTGAGTAGGCGGGACCTGCCTTGCCCCTCCCTAGAAGCACCCCTGACCCTCAGATCGGCCATCCCACGGCTGCCAGGGGCACGCCTGTCCCCTCGGCACAGCTCCCGGGCGAGCTTCAAAAACTTAAGCTGAGTCTCTCCCCTGCTTACCACCTTCCACAGACTTCCCGTCCCACCTAGAAAGAAAGCGTTTACTATGCTCTGGAAGGCTCCGCACGGCCTGGCCCCTGGCCACCTCTTGGTTGCCGTCTCAGGCCACTCTCCCTGTCACTCACCACGATGCAGCCACATCAGCTTCTTTCCTTTCCTCTGGACACCAAGCTGCTTCCTACCTCGGGATGTTTGCTGTTTCGGTTCCCTCTGCCAGGAACATACTTCTCCTGCCTCAGCTCAGATGCCACCTCCCCGCCCACTCTGCCTGCCCTGGCACAGCCGAACATTCTAGAGGGAAGGCACACAACCACCCGTGACCCGCGGCCTCGGGGGGGGGCCCTGGGTTGCTCGGGATGCCCGTACATGTGCCTCGTCCATTCACTCTCCTTCCTCCGGGATGCACCCTGGGCGCTCCTCCTCTTTACCTCCACGCCTCACCCCTCACTCCCAGCTGACAGCCTGCCTTCCTGCCTGTGGCGATGGACTGTCTGCATTCCCAGTCCAGGCCAGCCCTGCGCCTTGTCCACGCAAAGGCATCTCCCTCCGGCCATCTCCCCCTCTTGCATCATCCATTTACTCTTTTCTAGATCATTCTCCTTCACTGTTAGTTCTCTCATTAAAAACAAAGCAAAGCCCTCTCTTGATCCCACGGCCTCTCCTGCATCCCGCCCTGTTGCTGTGCTCCCCTTACACTGAAATTTCTTGAAAATGTTTAACATCTCAGATGAATCAAATCTCTCTCCTCCTGTTCTCTTTGGAAACTGTTCCAATCACCTGGCTGGTGTGGCTCAGTGGATTGAGCACTGGCCTGCGAACCAAAGGGTCATAGGATTGATTCCCAGTCAGGGCACAGGCCTGGGTTGCAGGCCAGGTCCCCAGTAGTGGGCGTGCAAGAGGCAACCACACGTTGATGTTTCTCTCCCTCTCTCTAGGAAAAAAATAAGTAAAATCTTTTTAAAAAAAATAAACTGTTCCAGTCAGACCTTTACCCCTGCCTCTGCTCCAGAATTGCCCTTACCCAGGTCTCCAACCTCTACATTGCCAAATCCAAAGGGTCGGGTCCCTGTCCATTGATCCATCAATGGCTTGACACCATTGGTTAATCACTCCCTCTCGAACTTGCTTCATTCCCTTTCTCGAGAAACCTCACCTTCTTGGTTCTCCTACTTCTGTGTCACTTCTCCAAACCCTTGAAATGGCTTCTCATCTCACAACAACTGGGCCTCCGTCCAGCCTGGCCCCTGCACCCTACCAGCCACCGCACTGCTCCTCGACACCTCAGGGTCTTTGCACGGGCTGTTCCCTCTGCCGGGAATGCCCTTCCGCACAGAGCCTGCTGGCAGACTTCCTCCACTAGGTCTCTGCCCGATGGCACCTTCTCTGCTCGCCTTGTTGAAAGCAGTGCCCTCCCCCAACCCTGCGTATCTTTACATTGGGTGTTCTAGATAGTCTACTCTTGTGCTTGTTTCCTCTCTGCCCGCCTTCACCCTCAGCTAAGACACTATCACATCAGCGGCCCTATCTTCTCATGCACTTGTCACGATCAGATATAATCCTTCTCATTCATCTGTTCATCATCCCTCTCTCTCACGGGCTCCCTCATGCACGCAACCCCAGACAGAGGCTGGGAGCTTCGCCTGTCCTGCTCCCTTGAGTCTGGCACTCCAGGGCGGGTGCCCGGTAATTCTCCCAAGGGAGTGGCAATCACCTGTAAAGAATCCTGCTGCGACGTACAGCTGGACGAGGCTGCGGCAGAAGCAACTGGCCACCATGCCCAGGCTGGCCAGCACGCCCCCAAACATCACTGTCACTCGGCAGCCAAAGCGCCCCACCAGAACGCTGCACAGGGGTCCTGTGGGGTAGAGGCGGGAGGGGCAGGGATGAGAAGCCAGCCAGCAGGGGGCAGCTGGCTGAGCGGGTCTGGAGGGAGGGGCTGAGTGAAGCTGGGTGGGGGTTCCAGCAGGACCCGGCCAGGAGCGTAAGAGGGCATCAGGCCTGGAGCCCGCAGGTCTGGGTCCTGAAACCCGCTCTGCCGCAGACTGGCCACGTGGCCTGGGCAAGGCTGTCCCTCCCTGGCTTAGTGTCCTCCACCACGGAATGAGGGATCAGGCTGGGAGATGGCTGACCAGGGGTGCGGTGAGGTGCCGCCAGCGGTCAGTTTGACCCAGACCAGGGTCCCCGGAGGTGCAGACCAAGGACTCTGCTGCAATGACCTGCGGCTGCTGCCAGCCGGGTGAAACAGGACTGGCTCATGACCCAGCTGAGTGCTCCTCACTGGGGGTCTTTCTCAGAGGGTAGGGATCCTGGGCCTCTAAGTCGTGGGAGCACCCCCGGCCCCTGCTCCTACCCCATCCTCAAGAAGACTGGCCACAGCCCTCCCTCCAACCTCCCACCCGTCCAGGGTGGGCAGCTGGGGCCCCGGGCCACTCTGCAGCCCCTCGCCTCCAAAGATGGTGTGGGGTCCCTTCTCCCTGCCCCCACCACCTCCAGCCCCCACCAGTCTTGTACCCAGATGTCTGGCTTCTGTCTGGAGAAGGGCCAGTTTTCCTCCACCCCACCCCCACCCCACCCCGAGTGGCTTTCTTCCGGCCCAGGCCCGGAGGGGTAGAAAGGAGCCAGTCCTAGCCGGCTGCTTGACACTTTGCAAGGTCCCATTCACTGAGTGCCCTGCCCCCAGAGACACGTAATGGAGTTTCGAGAGAGCGAGGGCGAACACAAGGCCTGGGTGTGGGTGCACCGCAGGCGTTTGGGGTGGAGAGGGCGTGTTAGGGTGCGAGCCGGTATGAATTTGGGAGTGAAGAGACAGGGAGCAGCGCATCCTCAGAGGCAGCCCGGCAGAGGCAGCTGCGGGGGGGCGGGGAACTCTCTGAAGAGGACATGACCTCCACCCCACACATCTCCCCACTGCCAGGCTTTGACCCGGCTTAGGAAAGGTGATATTGGGAAAAGCCCTGAGTCATGGGTTAAGGGCGGGGCTGGGACATGTGCCAACTCAGCTGAGGGTGCCATGTTGGGGCACTGGGTATTTCTTTGGCAGGGGCGCTGCTTCTGCCCTGAACTCACTCTGCAGCCTTGGACAGGCCTTGGACTTTGTGCTCGCTTGCTTTCCTCAAAATGTGTAGGAGCAGGGTACATTTAGGATTGATGAGCCTTTCACATCTACGATTTCTATCACACTCTGAGTGAGCATGGGCTAAAGGTGTGGATGTGCGTGAGACAGACAAGACGGGTCACAAGCCAACCGAAATGTTGGAGAGCCTGCTAGGGGACAGCGAGTCTAAAGCTGGCTAGGGAGTCGGGGTTCCCACTGGGTGCCCGGCTCCCAGAGCCTGGCCCCGACGCCCTTCTGACCAGGTGGCAGGAACCCTCTGCGGTTCCCACACCTGCACCAGGCTTGCAGGTGAAGGAGTCATGAGGTCTGGGTCAGGCCTGGCCTTTCCCCTTACCCTGAGCCCATGCCCTGAGTGACAGATTGAACAGTCCTTCCAGCAAAGGTATGACCTCCTTTCCAGCTGCCAGGGAGGAACTGGAAGAACAAGCAGGCTTCTGGTGCCAGGTGGAGGGAGCAGCAGGAGGTGGGCTGGGGAGGAGGACAGATAGGACAAGCACACCCCCACGTGGGGGGACCCTGCGGCTCATCAGACCCCATTCCAGTTGGCCAGGCCCCGCCCCCCCCCCCCCCCCCCAAGGCTGCGGTCTGTGGCATCTCCTTGAAGAGCCCTCAGAACTGAGCCCAAGGCTACGGTGGAGAACCCTCCTGGGCGGCCCCTGGCCTTCCCCTCCGCTGGGGTCAGGGTGGGGCGGTCAGTCAGGGAGGAGCCAACCAGGAAACGAGGGAGCTCCCTTCCCTCCTTCTCCCAGCCCTTCCCCTCTGCTTCTTGGTGAGAGACAGGGCTCTTGCCCTGTCCCCATCTTGCTCTTGGTGTCTTCAAAGAGCCCGCTCCCCGTCCTGAAGCCCGTGAAGGTCTCCAGAGTATGAAGCATTCACGCCGCTTAGGTTTCCACTCTGAGCACTGCTGAGTGTCATGTGCTCTTCCCTACGATAACATGCGGGAGGTAGGCAGGATGCTGGGCGCTACTCCCACAGGGCAGGGTAGAAACCGAGGTTCAGGGCAATCTCCCAGCTGCACCCCAGGCTTCTCCTCCTCCTCCTCCTCCTCCTCCTACTCCTCGAGTCTGGATCCATCCTTCAGGGGCCCCCGAGAGGACTGGCTGTGTATCTTAGGCTCCTCCCTGCCTTTGCCCGCCAAAGCCCAGCCCAGCCCTGCGGGATTCCAGCCCAGCCAGGCGGGATTCCAGTCAGGGGAGTGGGCCCCACGAAATCAGGTGAAATCTTAAGAATTCACCTGGACAGGCAAAGCCTGTGGCTGCGGAGAGGGGGACCCAGGAGGCCAGGGAGGTCATGGCTTTCCCCCACTGCCCCTCTCCCCTCCCCCGCTCCCGGGCCCCCACAGGCTGCTTACCGCCAGCGTGGAGCATGGCTGTCAGGATGGAGGGGAACCAGGAGGTCTCGCTGTTGCTGGCCCGGAACTCATGCTGCAGCTCAGTGAAGAAGATGCCAAGGCACGTGGGGAAGCCCAGGGTGAGGCCCTGGGCCACCACGGAGGCCAGCAGGACAACCCAGGCCCAGCAGCCCTCGGCGCGTTCCAGGGCCCGGGGCATCCTCTGCTGGGAGTGCTGCGACAGCCTCGCCCCACAGCCTTGCCACCACTGCTACCAGGGCCTGGGCCACCTGGGGAGGGGAGGGGGTGAAGCTGCCAGCACTCCCCCGGCTCACCTGCCACCCTTCCTGGGCGGCTGAAACCGTCCTTTGCTCTTGTCTCAGCACCAGGTACTGGAGGAGCACCACCCATTCTGGGAGGTGGCCAGAGGCCCACGCGTTGGCCTTGGCACCTCCTTTCACCCATTTTCCAGGGCCAGCCTGGCAGGAGGGGCAGGCAAGTGAGGGATCAGTGGGACAAAGCAGCTGAGTGGAATTCTTTCCAGTCTAACATTGCTTGGTGGCAGCAGTGGGGGTTTCCTGGCCGGGCCTTGGGCCACACACAGAGCAGGCACCCAGGAACCGCTTGTAGAAGGGAGCAAGTCTCTAGGGCCAGCACAGTTCCTTAAGAAGCTGGCTTTCCAGCACACACACACTTTGGCAATGCCACGCTGACAGCAAAGTTCACTGCCAGTGCTCCTGTAAAGGTCAAGGTGAGCAAGCTGGTGCCGGGCGCAGCCAGGGAATGAACCCAGGGCGGCTTCACAAGGGCCCAGACAAGCAGTTTCCCGAGAGAAGGCAGGGGTCTCATCGGCAGCGCTCCGAAAGCGCCCCACAGCGCTCCTGCTACAGAGCCACGGCCAAGAACCCAGTTCCACGTTCACGCTGAGTAACGACCTGCCATCTGCAAGGGCTTCTCCGAGTGTCCCCATACACATCACACAGACGCACACACACGCACACACTCACAAATGCATACACACTCACAGGTAGACACATTTCAAGACATACGCTCACACATGCACATATGTAGACATGCACTTACATAGGCACACACAGGGAAGCCCAAAGGCATACAGATGCACGCACACACATGCTGCATACACAGACAGACACATCCCCCCCTCGCATCTTTTTTTTTTTTTTAACTGTCATTTTTATTCAGACACGTACAAAAACAAAACACAACACTTCGGTGAGATAACCCCAGTTTCCTATCCAATGGGACAGAGACCTGAAGAGGGTCCTTTCTATTCCGACCAGAAGCTTCCCATTATTTGGTGAGAAAGTTCCTAAAAGTGGCTCTTTTTGGGACCCTTGTGACTGTCCCTTGGATAAGAAGTGGAGATCATTTACAACACATGTAGGATTCGGTTTACATGAAGATGTCTGGTTAATTTTTCCTTCTGACCACTCCCTTCCTGAGAGGGGTCGTCTGGGCACAGGAGGCTGGTTGTTGGGATTAGATTTAATTCAGTGCAAACACAAGTGCTCTTCTGAGGGCTCCGACTCATTTGAATCCTGGACCTGTCAATCTCTTTAAAGTGCGGTTCCTTGTTTGTAAAATGGGACAAGACCTAGGTCACAGAATTGGCGTTAAGGTTTCAGACGACATAGGTAGTTTAGCACAATGCCTGGTGTAAAAGTAAATGCTCAATAGTCATCATTAATATCTACTCCTAACTTCTTTATTCCACAAGATTTTAAGCTTCCTGTTCTTTCCAGGGGGTTAGAATGATAGCCAAAATGTTATTTTCCCCTGCCAGGTTTTGCCCCTTTTCTCTCTCCGCCTTAGATGTCTCATGGGAAATAAAGGCACACTTTAAAGCATCGTCTCATCAGGTTAGAGTCTTGAAAGGGACATGATATGGAAGTAATCATATGGATACAGGACGTGATATGGGAGTAATCCTTCGTATCTCCAGGGCGTTCCCCTGAGGAAGCAGAGGAATGGGCTTGGGAAAGCACACAAAACAGGAGAAACCTTCTTCTTTCCAGGGATTGGGAAAGAGAAGAAAGTGCACAGCTGGCTACATATCAAAAGAACTTTGTGTCGGAGTGTTTTAAAGCCTCCAAAGGTTGAATGGAATTGTCTAGGACTGAGGGGGAAATGGGACTGAGACCTTGGAGGGAGAGGGACTAGGAAGAAGAGGGGTACCCTCTAGAGGCACTAGCTGCCATCCAATGCTCCCGGAGGACCTCAGGGAGCAGGCCCCCCTCGCATCTTTAGCTCAGTACTGTCTTAGCTCCTTGCCACCACCAGGCCACTCCCCCTCATCACAGAGGCCGCCATAACCAGACCTAGAAGTTCAAGTCCCCTCCCCCGAGGCAGAGCCCTCTCCAGCCCCCTTGCCGCAGGCTGGCTCTCCTCTGCGCCCTCTGACTTCACCTGCACACAGGGCTCCAGGTTCAGCAGGCCGTGGGAGCAACCTCTGCCGCCATGAAGCCAGGCTCCCTTGAGCGACTGTTCCCACAGCCTCCCTCCTTTTTGCCCCAGGTCCAGGGAGAATCCATGGAAACCCAGTAAAACTCTGAGAAATATGACCCCCCCCCAACTTCCTGCCAGCCCATGCCTGTCCCCCAGGCCCAGCAGCTGTAAAATGGCACCTCAGTGGGACCCACCCTAAAATGACTCCTTTCCATGCTCCAGTTCCTTCTCAGGGCACAGCCCTGCCAAGGTGAGCGACCCCTTCACCCCAGCCTCAGGGTGTGGGGGTGTGTGTGCTCGCGCATGGCCTTGTGTGGGCCAGAAGCACCTCCTGGCCTCCTGGCTCCTGCCAATGACACCAGCCCTAGAGACCCCCTCAGCCCAGCTTCAGGCTGGGGAAGCCTCCGCTACGGCCCCTCCAGCAAGCTGGCTCTCGTCCCTTCCACGATTTCTGTTCCCTCAGCAAATGGAAAGGCCACCAATGCCACTTGATCCTCTCTACAGTGACCTGAATGTCAGTCTCCACACGCTCCTCCGTAGCTCACCCCTCCTCCCGGACACATCCTGGCCCCTCACCCTTCTGTGACCTGCCATCTTCCAGTCTTCCTCCCGGAAGGGCCACCAGCCTTCCTCTGCAGCCCTCGCCCCTCCTGCCCTGCCCTCCCTGCCGGCCTGGCACTCCCAAGCTCCAGGGCCCTGCCTGTCCCCCTTCAGGGCGGCAGCACACTGTCACTGACCAAGAGGTGGCAGGGAGGAGGGGAGGCTGGAGAAAAGACAGGAGGGGTCTTGGTGGCTGGACCCCGGCCACCAGTCCCCCCTCATGGCCCTTGTCTCTTCTCCTTCATTCTTGCCCTGCCCCTCCATGGAGAGGTCTTTTTGGCACCCTGCTCAGCAGCCACTTCTCTGGGCAGTACCTTTGGGGACTTTTGCCCAGGGTTCTGCCTTTCACTCCGCACCCACCTTCCCTCCCGAAACTTTCAGCGTGGCCGGCTCTTCACAGCCCCTCCTCCCAGGGGCTCCCGGGACAATCAGAGTCTAGAAACCGCTAAGCACCTCTGCCCGCTTGTTGCTGGCAGCCGCCCAGTTCTGGGGACCCCTGGCGTCCTCCTGGGAGCTTCCTGACAGATCCAGTCTTCCTGGGGAGGAGAGGGCCTTCCCCTCCCACACCCCCAGCAACTCCCAGGCCACACACGAACCTCTTAAGCCCAGCCCCCTTGCCCAGCAAGCTGCCCGCCCCCCCCCCCCCCACCACCACCAGCTTGGCTACAGCGGTGGTTCCTCTGCAGTCCTTGGCCTGAAAGAAGTCTGCTTCTTCCTTAAAGATTCAGCCCTGGCGGCACCCCTAGGAAGCTACCCTGACCCCCACCCCCGGCTGGGATAGATGCCTTCCCGTTTTCTCTCCCTAATAGTGGTTTTCATACTGCACTGGAGCGGTGCGATCCTTTGTTTATCGTGTGCCCCCCCGCCCCTAGCCCCCCCTTTTACACCCTAAGTGAGGATCTGTTCATGAACTCCCACCCAGCCTCTGGCAGAGCCCCAAAAATAATATGAATGTGACCCACCTGTGTTCCCCAGAAGGCAGGCAAGTCCAGGACCAAGGGCGACCTGGCTTTCTGGCAGACACATCCATTCCAGAAGACTGGAACAGAGCAGAGACGAGACGGGGCTGGGGACTCTGGCTTTGCCTCTGCCCCAGCAGCGAGGTGATCTTGCCTTTGTACTGGGAACCATGTGTCACCATCGCCACCTGCCACGTGGTCGGGACCAGGGAGATGTGGCTGAAGATAACCTCACTCGTACCTCCTGACACAGGAGGGGAGCCGCTTTCCAGGCAGCTGCCCACTCAGCCTCCAGGGACACCCCGGCTCCCCTACCCAGAGGAGAGCGCTTCACACCCAGGTGACAACGCCAAGGTGACATTTCTTATCCTCCCAGCATCACACAGCGTCCCGGCTGTTTTGAGAGCTCCCGATCAGAGGCCTCGCTAGGCCCTCGCAATTCTTCCCTGCCGATCTGAGTTTGCCGGCGCGGTCAGAGGGGTGAGCGGATGCTCTCACGCAGGGGTCTCTTCCTTTCTTCCTCTCCCCTGCTCTCTTCCCACCGTGAGGGGAAAAACAGGAGCCACGGGCCCCAGAGCGCGAGAGGATGGGCAGCCCCCGGAGGCCCCCTCCGTCACCAGGCCACACACACGCGCCAGGCTGGAGGAAGCCGCGCCTGGAGCTCGGGACACACGCCGGCAGCGGCAGTGGGGCTCCCCGCTGGGCCCGGAGAGCCCCAAGAGCAGCTTGAACTTGGGGCTGACCAGCCCTCAAACCCCTGCACCTAGAGGGCCCCGGAAAGAAGGAGGCAATTCCAGAGATTGGCGAACTGGGGCAAGTCCCCCTGTCCCTTCTCGGCCCCCGAAAGTGCCCCACTTTTCCCACAGGGGCCGGCTGACCACAGCCTGCAGGGAGATGGGATGGGCAAGAGAAACCCACGACCTCTCCTCACCCCGGGCCGTGTCCCTGCCCTCGGGATCTAGTTTCCTCTGGGCTTCCCACCCTCGGCTGGACGGAGCCGCTCCGGGTGGGGTTTCGGGCGTCCAGGTCAGTTCAGGCCAGGCCTCGGGGCTGCCCGCCCCGTAATATCCCCTGCCGCAGAGGGCGAGGAGTGGCTTTGGAGAGACCCCCCTCGGGAAGGGAGTCCCCAGCCACCCAGGGCTGTGGGAGCCCAAGACCCGGGACAAAAAGGCTTTTCCAGATCCTCACCCTCGACAGGCGGGAAGGGGCCCGGGAGGCCCAGAGCGGGCGGGTCTGCCCCGCGCGGACGGAGACCCCGGCGGGGGGCGCCTTGGGGGCCGTGGGGGGCCCGGGAGCCCGCTTCCCGGCTCGCACGGGCCCGGCGCACCGACAGCTCCGCTCCAGCCAAGCGCGGCTTCCGGCGGCCGGTCCCTCCCGCGGGGCCCGGCCTGGAGCCGCCGGCCGGGGGAGGCGGGCCGCAGGGCGTGGGTGGGTGGGACCACCTCGGAGCCTCCGGGTGTTGGGGGCGGAAGGCCTGGCCAGGATGTGGGAGGGCGTGGCGGGGCGTGGCCAGGACCGCCACCCTGCTCCCAGCCGGGTCGCCTCCTCCGAGGGGCCGGGGCCTGACCTCGGCGCAGCGGGTTCATTTTCATGTCGTTAGCATGTGATTTGCATAGACCATAGGCTCACTCTGCAGCTTCCCGATTTTACAGTTCAGGGTTCAGTGGGGAGGGTCCCTTTTTTGGGGACTTTAGATGCCCAGGGGTCCTTCCAACGCCAGCCTGGAGCTTGGAGGGCCACACCCAGTGGAACCTAGGCAGGCAGCTGTGGGGGAGCAGAGCAGACAACGAAGCCCCTCAGCCCTGGGAGCCGCTCAGGACACGCCCACCACATCCTGAGACGCCCGCAGAACCGCAGGGCCTCCGCCTTGCCCTCCGCGAGCCAGCCCTCCCTGTGCATTGTTCAAAACGTGTTCAGCTACGGCAGAACTACAGTAATTAAGACTGTGGTACTGGCCTAAGGGTAGACACGTAGATCCATGGGATCGAACTGAGAATAAAGCCTTACATTATGGTCAACTGATTTTCCATAAGAGTGCTGAGACAATTCAATGAGGGAAGATCGGTCTCCTCAGCACATGGTGCTGGAACGACTGGACATCCACATGTGGAAGAATGAAGTGGACTTCTAACTCGCACCATGTACAGGAAAAAAAGGATCATAGTTGGAAATGTGAGAATTAAAACGATAAAACTCGTAGAAGAAAACATAGGAGTAAATTTTCATGATCTTGGGCTAGTCAATGGATTTTTAAATATGACACCAAAAAGCACAAGTAACAAAGGGAAAAAACACACAAATTGGATATCAACAGAATGAAAAACTTTTGTGCACCAAAGGACACCACCAGGAAAGTGAAAAGATAACTTGAAGGATGGGGAAATATTTGCAAATCATGCAGCAGATAAGGGACTTCATAAGGGAGAATTGTTACAACTCAGCAATAAAAAGACAACCTCATTCAAAGTGGGCAAAGGCTCTGAGGAGATCGTTCTCCGAAGAAGACATACAGTTGGCCAACAAGCACATGAGAAAAGGTGTTCCATATCCCTAGTCATCCGGGAAGTGCAAATCAAACCACGAGGAGATACCACGTACCACACACGAGGATAACTTAGTTTGTAGGTGTTTCACATGGGAGACACGTGCGCCAGCTTGTAAGGCATGTCTTAGATGTAAGTCATCACTCTACATGTGGTTTGTTTCTTTGCCAACTGTCTCAGTGCTGGGGTTGGCTCTGACACGGGAGGATATTCGATTTTAACTTGAAGGTCTCTGGATATAAACACTAGGAAGAGGGGGCGGGATCTATTAAGATTTATCTTACTATCCTGCAGAGATGAGCCCAGACCTTGGGAGGCCCTGAATGGGGGACAGAGAGAGGATATACTTGGGGGTCTGAACCTCTTGACACTCCTTATCCCAGCCTGGCCAGGCACTGTGCGGGGCGGTGCCCACCCTGGGTACTCAGAACAGGCCGCACGCGGCCTTCCACCCCGTCGCTGGGTTCTCTGGCAGGACCTGGGGACTCCACACCCAGGGACTTCCTGGAGGGTCCTACCATCTCAGAAAAAGTCAAACAGGGAAGTTTCCCAGGGAACCCACCGTCTTCTGGGGAGCCCCACTTTAATCTTTGACCTGTCGTTCATCAGGTGGAAATTGATAGAGTTGGGGGGACACCCCTCCACCACCCTGGACTCTAGGTGCTTCTCCAGCGTGAGGTTCCCCTGCTGGGTCACGGTTGCTGCGGCTGCAGAACTACGAGTCAGGGCCACGGGCACCTGCAGACAGTCCCCAGCCTTCCCCAGCCTTCCTGGGACTCTGCCCCCTAAGAGCAGGTCTCAGTACAAAGTCTCGTCACCAGACCCAGTTGTGTTAGGACCTATGATCGTTATCAATTCAGAGTGAGTGACCAGGGTCATAGTCTGGAAGGAACTGGGTCACTTACCATACTATAGATAAGAGAACTGAGGCATCTCCTCAAAGAGAGAGGGAAGTTGCCCTGGCTGGTGTGGCTCAGTGGAGTCTACGAACCAAAGGGTCTCTGGTTCAGTTCCCAATCAGGGCACATGCCTGGTCTGTGGGTCAGATCCCCAGTAAGGGACTCACAAGAGGCAACCACACACTGATGTTCCTCTTCCCCTTTCTCCTTCCCTTCCCGTCTGTCTAAAAATAAATAAATAAAATCTTAAAAGAGAGAGAGAGAGAGGGAGGCAGTCGCTCAAAGTCAAATCTTCAGAAATTAACAGTAAATTATTAGTAGTTAATAGCATAATTGCCATGCACCAGTAACCACCACCGCCATCACATTGTATGTGGCGTGGAGCCCCTGAGAGCTCTGTGTGTGATGGCTGTGCTCTTCTCCTGGAACACTGTCCTGATGACCCTTGTTTACCTGGTTGGCCTGCAGGTGTCAGCTGATAAGCCCCTTCCTCCAGGAAGACCTCCCAGACCCCCCAAGTTGAGGCATTAACCCAGCTGGCGTTGTTATGTGTCTCCCCCACGAAGCTCCCTCAGGCTTGCCCTGCTGACCAGTGCTTCCCCAACACTCAGCACAGTGCGTAGCACAGGATAATAATTAACAGTAAGTGTCATATGTATGGAGCATGGTTCTAAGTGCTGTCCAGGTACCAACTCATCTGCTGAATGAAGGAATGGAGTGTTGCCCACCCAAGTCACTCCCCCATTCCTGGGTCTTAACACCCCAGTCCCTGGGCCTGGGGTCCTTTAAAAATATTTAACTACTTGAAAGCTCTGGGATGATGGGCTCCTGGTCCCTACACCTCTCTCTCCATCCGGCCCTTGGCCTCTGCGTAGACCCTCGGGTATCTCTGGCGTAGCCAGGACGCCCTCTGTTGGAAGAATGGGGACAAGGTCCTTCCCGGCTCTCGGTGCTGTCGGCGCTGGGCTGCTCCGCGCCTGCGCCGGCCTCTTCACAGGATCTCATTTCGCCGGCGCCAGGGCAGTTTCTCCGGCCTTTCTCCACGTCTTCCCCCTCTGCCTATTTGCACAGGGCAGGTGGAAGATTGTCAGCTGGTCCCAGGGGGCTAGCTGTGCCACCCAGCTGGCTATTTCCCCCAAGACCCCCGGAACTCAGATCTGATGGGCACAGTCTGTCCCAGGGCTGGCCATAGATGCTGGCTGTGAGGTTGGGGGTCCCACTCCTCCGCCCCACTCCACTCCACTCCAGCCCCGGCCCCTCGTGGGGACAGAGACGTCCTGGCCTCCCCGTTCAGGGGCCGCGGAGGCCTTGCTGGGGCGCAGGACAAGGGAAATCGCGGGGAGGCCTCATGCCTCCTGACCTGGGATTGTCCCTGAGCTGAGCCTTGCCGCGATTTCAGCTGTGTGCAGAGGGGAGAAGGTTGTCGATCAGGCCAGCAGGCGCTCCTGGAGCCGCAAGCCCGGCTCGGCCCGCGCTCCGGAGGCCCCTGGCCTCGGCAGAGGCTGTCGGAGCGGTGCTCGCGGGGCCTCGGGGCCACCCCTCGGCCAGAGCCCCTCTCCCTTCCCTGCTTCCTCCTTCCCCTTCGCTTACCCGGACTGTCTCCTCCAGCCCACATCCTCTCTGAGGTTCCAGCGGTCTCCTTGAGACGATCTCACGGTCACTCGTGGGCAGCCTGTCCCCACACCACCTTCCTCCTCAGCCCAGGCCCCGCCTCTGCCCGGCGGGGACCTCATCTTGATGTCCAGCTTGCGGTCAGTTCTCCCCTTTGCAGCCTTGCTCCCGTCTTATCTCTTCCTGATGTGGGGGCCACTTCAGGCCCGCATGGCCTGGACCCTGAGCCTCGGTAGGATGTCCCAGCTCCGCCTCCCTGCCCGGACTCATCTTCCAAAAGCTTCTGTTTTGCAGGGGCTGCACTGGAAAGCCTCCACTTCGCCCACGCCTGGGCAGGGCTCATGTCTGCACACCCGGTTCCCAGCTCTCTCAGCCCGTGTGCCTGGCAGCTGTCGTGTGAGGCTCACCCCCCCCATCACCGCTCTTCCTCCTCCCTCTCCCTCATGCCCTTGCCCCACCCCCGGCACCCTCCCCTCGCTCGTCCTGACCCCAGCCTCCCTCCTGCCCTCCATTTGGCCCTCAAACAAACCGCACCAGGCCGCCCTGCTGAGGGCCTCCCTCTGGGGCACCCAGAGCGCCCTGGAATCGAGTTCGCGTTCCTCCCGGGCCCTCCCCTCGTCCCTTCCTCCGCTCAGCCGCGACCCAAGTCCGGTCACCTCCCTGCTCTCGCTCAGGTGTTCCCCCACCACCCTGCGTCATCCCCACTGTGTGCAGTGACAAAGGCCAAGTGCCACCTCCTCTGGGGAGTCCGCCCTGGCATCCCTGCTGTCGCTGCTTCCTGAGAGCCACTCAGGCGATTATCTGCTTAGGTATCTCCGCGCCTGGGGGGACCATACACTGGGGCGTGTGGGCAACGGAAATGTATTGTCTCACAATGCGGGGAGACTCACATCCCAAATCAAGGTGTTGGCAGGGCAGCTTCCTTCTGGAGACTGAGGGAGAATCTGTTCCCGTGCTTGTCCCCTAGCTTCTGGTGACGACATGCCATCCCTGGCCTTCCTCGGTTAGTAGACATGTCATTCCAATCTCTGCCCTTTCTGTATCTGTATGTATGTTTCCATGTCTCTGTTTTCCTCCAAGGACAGCAGTGACTGGATCAGGGTCCACCCTACGCCACCATGACCTCATCTTAATGAATCACATCTGCAAAGACCCTGTTTTCAAATAAGGTCACATTCTGAGGTTCCAGGTGGACATGAATTTGAGGAAAACATTCTTTATTAGTTTGCAAGCTGTGCAAAGAGAAGCAAGCGGCCTTAGTTTACCGAGTCCTCACTGAAACAATTCCGTGACGGCTCTTTCT